TGTTTAGCGTGCCCCGTGCATCCTTTGCGCCCCTCACAGCACCGCTCAGCAGGTTCCCATGTGACCAAGAGACACTGCAGACCCGGATCCCAGGAGGCCTCATCCCCTTCGGATAGCAGATGCAGACCCAGGGCCCGAAGGCAGCCACCGCTGGCCTCAGCCATTTGAGGCTAGCTTTGTCAAGAGGCACGGACAGTCTTTGAACACCTCCACTGGGGAAGAATCTGGCTCCTGATCCCAGCAAGGGGACCCCACTGTCATGGCAGGGAAGAGCAAGGCCAGCAGATGTGTTGAGTGTGGGCATGAAAGGAGCGTCGCAGCCGGAACTGCTAGCTGCATCCTTGCTTTTCTTGTTTGTTTTTGCATGCCATATAGACAGGCGTGGAAAAGGAAAAAGGATTTTTGGCTTCATAGAGCTCCCTTGTCTCATGTGGCTACAGTTTTAAGAATTTAACATTCTATTCATGGTCCACATTCAACTCTTATTCTTCATATGCATCCTGTAAATAGTCAAGTCTGTACTACAGGTGTGCCCCACTTTAAGAAAACAATGGACACATGGCGTACCCCAAGTAATCCATTGAAGAGCCTTATGTTTACAGAAATGAAGAATTGGCATATGATTAAAAATGCTATTTATAAACAGCAAACCCCTGGGTGTACTTAAAATTCAAGTTAAAAAGAAAAATCAAAACAGACAGCTTTTAGGAAAACATCTATCCGCTAAAACTAGATACATCTACGCCACTTGGTTCTGGTTAGCCTCTTATTAGAGAACTGGGGCTTCATTCCACAATAGTGGAGGGAGGGGGAGCGAGCACAAGTACAGGTCTCTCAAAGAGCCAGGTCAAATACTTTTATTTTATTTTTTTTCCAAATATTTTATTTATTTATTTGACAGAGAGAGACACAGCGAGAGAGGGAACACAAGCAGGGGGGAGTGGGAGAGGGAGAAGCAGGCTTCCCACCGAGCAGGGAGCCCAATGCAGGGCTCCATCCCAGGACCCTGGGACCATGACCTGAGCCGAAGGCAGACGCTTAACGACCGCGCCACCCAGGCGCCCAAAGTCAAATACTTTTAAATCAAGTTCCACTGGAGAAGTTCAGGGAACTGAACCAAGAGAAGAGGGAAAATGGGCACCAAGAACACAGAGAGAGGTCCTAGCAGCTGTCACCTCTGCTGAACACTGAACATGAGACCCCGGGAATGAAGTTGTGCATGAGGGGCCAGGTTCCATGTGGTGGAAGGGGAAGGTGCCCACTGCGGACTGTTTAACATTTGAATAGGGAATGATAGATGATGGAGGAGACTAGGAAATCCCCTCTGGGTGTCACCTCCTCTGGAATGGTCCCAGGTGGACGTAACAAAATGGACTAAGGGGCTTTCTCACCCTTCCTTCCTGTTCTTGTGATTGGGTTCTGCAGGGTCAAAGCCCCTTGCTCATCCTCTGTCCCAGCACTGTTTTCCTACACACAGTCACCAACCTGGGTTTGGTTTGGATTCTCCTAAGAGCTGCAGGTGTTTGAGGGGAAGTATCTCTGGCAAGCTGTGCCTCCCCTTGGAGGATCATCTCCTACCTACTTCCCATCACATCCCTGTGCAAACCCCATCTGTTCCGTAAGCCTCGCTCATGGACTGCTTCTCCCCGGAGCCTTCCTTGAGTTGCTGCGGGCCTCAAGCAGGAATTAATCTCCGCTTCCTTTCCTCTCCTCCATTTCCCTGAGCCAGAGTCTCCTCTCTCCCGGGAGAACTCCACAGGGCAGATTAGGTCCCATCCAACGTCACATGTTCATGGTACCCAGCATCGCAGGTATTAAAAATACAAATAGGGTCCTAGCCGTGACCTTGCCAATGAGTGTCAGCTCTCTGTACCATTTCAAATAGCAAATTTGGAATGCTTAAATACAGAGCATAGCATTGTAACCCTGTGAATATGAAATAGGGTCCTGTTCATTTGGCTCAGCAGTGGACTCATTCACGAAAACCTTTTAGTTACCTTAACCAGCAACACCAGTAACATTTAGTTGACATACGGTAAGACGATTCTTTTTAGTATCAAGGAGTTAGAGGAGGTGCACGTACCACTTCCTGTTCAGCCCATCTTTGGCGGCCGCGACGCTCACCAGCACCCGTACGCAACTGAATTAGGGACAGCAACAGAGAATTCGATAGCCTGTCCTTTCTTTTTGCCACCTCTTTTCAACTCAGGTCCAATGAACCCTGAAAGGTCTCAGCGCGGGGTGGGGGGTGGTTATCCAAGGGAGCACAACACTGGCCTTTGAAACATTTAATAAGGAGTCATAATCAAACACAAAATGATTTTATTTTAAAAAGAATAAATTTACATACAGTACATAAGCAAGACAGCTGGAAGCTTCCAAAATAGAAACCCGGAGCATATGGCCCTGAAACACCACATGCTTTGATTACACCCGGGAAGCATGAGTTGCCTACTTGGGGGGAGAAAAATCCCATGCTACAGTGCAACCTTCAGGCATGTTGTAGCGTGATTTCGGCCACCGCCATTTAAGGGTTTTTAGTTCAGGGTCCCTTCTGTGTTTCCTTCTGCATATTCTGTAGTGGTGCGGGTCTGAGCAAAACCAGCCTGCAGCGACAGCTGGTTGGAAGGGTGCTGCAGGAGGGCCTGGCCCAGAGTGGGAGGGGGCTGGGGGCAGGCACATGAGGAAGAGGGCGTGTTCTGCTGGGCTCCCAGAGGCCCTAGTCGTCCTGAGGGCTTTGGGGTCATGGCTTCCAAATGCAGACCCCAGGTCCTAAGCTTATCTTGGATACATCATGGTGAGCTTGACTTTTTAAATTCTTAATCTCCACGTCTCCTGATGGAGAGGGGCTCTGGACCACAGCTGAGGCTACACCAGCAGGGGGCAGTCTCTCCCCAGAGAGAAAATCCAAATGTCTCCAAGGAGCCAGGAGGCCTGCTCCTTGAAGGGACAGGGGTGGGGTGTGCAAGACAGCAGGCCTGGGAGGATGTGAGAAGTGCCTGAGGAGGGCTGGTGAGCGAGAGTAGGAAGCTGGTAGTTACTTTTCCAATCCGTTTCTGCAGAGCAGTAGAGCTCAAAAACTAAAATGGTCTTCAATATACACTTTTTATTTTCCAGTTGCAAAACGAGACACTTCAAAAAAAAGTGACCAACTGTGACAAGCCCTTGGGTCATTCTTTAAGGTGCTATGGCTAATCGTCCTCCATCCAATCGTGTAAATACAGCCTTAAAAACATTAATACAGTTGATTGCTGTCCTGTTGTTGGGACTTAAAAGGACAGCATTAAAAATCACACACACACACACACACTTGAATGAATTGCCAACACCCACTGCCATGACAGTTACGGCCCCTCCTCTCAAAAGATACAAATGGAAAAACCCGGTCCTTTGCTAATTAGCTTCAGAAAAATCAACTAAAATTATTTTGCGTTAACTATTATCCAGTGCTGCGGGGACGTGCCTCATCTGCCACATGGGTGGGGCTGGCCCAGGGCAGGGGTGCCTGTAAGTTGGGGCTCCCCCCGCCTCCATCCTGCTGCCACAAATACTAGTCAGAGTTTGCTGTAAGAACAGTCAAATAAATGGCAAGTCCTTCTGATTCCTGCCTTCTAACTATGAACAATGTCAGAAGAGTTTGAAGGAAAGGCAGAATGGTTTCCTCAACATCGTTCCCAATAGACTGGAGCACTAAGCCAAATAGCAAAGGTCATCCCGACAGAAATATCAGGGGACATATCTGAAATCGGGACAAATGGGGTGTTCAGTTTTCACACTGGAGGCAGAGGGAAGAGCCTAACCCTGAAGTGTGTGCGTGGAAATGACGTGTTGGGATTCAAGTCATTGGGTTTGGTGGTTCGGGCACCGCACAGCACAAGACACTTCGTAACTACGCATTTATGCTAACTTTTCAGAAGATTGTTGATGCGTGTTCCTTATTCTTAAGAACTGAAGATGTGCCCTCAGAGGACGTGTCCCCCTGTCGTGGCCTTCCTATGCCTCACAAGGACACGCGCGGGCTTAAAGGCTGTGTTGTGTTTGGTCAGCTTGTCTTCCCAAGAGAGGCTGATCCTGTTCTTGCATTAATTACCCTTAAAATTGCCAAGAGATAAGGGGGTGGGGGTGGAAAGGGAGTCCCTGATTCTATTTGGTGGGTGAGAAAATCGGTTTACAGAAAGTAACAGAAATGGAGGAGCAAGGCCCCGGAGGTCTGTTCCTTCCCTGTCAGGCCCCAGGGAGGACTCAGTTCATCTGTTCTGTTGGGCCACTCTTGCAGGCAGTTGACAGCACCTCCCCAGTTTGTACGGAAGCAAAAAACACCTAAATCTGGGCCGAGGGCTGGTCCCAAGTCACGGCGAAGCAGGAGAGAGCAGGACACACCGGGAAGCCCCGATGAAGAGAGGTGGGAGAAGCTAGTGGGTTTCACGGATCAGAAGAGTGTGGAAACGTGACCTGGAGTTCTGTAGAATGCACAGACGTGGACGAATGGACCCCCCCAGAGAGCGGGACTGAGGAGGGAAACAGGCTCCCGTCCATGATCTCCTGGGTCACCCTCGTCCCTTACTGCCCCATGGTGGGGTCCACGGTGCTCTTGCCACCCAAGTGGGCACAGTCTAGTGTGATCATAACAAAAATGTCACCCTGTCCAAGGAAGGCAGTTCTACACGATGCCACCCTTTCTCCGGACCCAGGTTCCAAGTCTGGACATGAGGCCCCGTGGTGGGCGAGGTCACAACAGAAGAGAGACGCCTGACCTCCAGCCTCTCAGATCATGCCCGTCTCTTCCGGATCTCCCAAGCCAGGCCACAGTTCCTGCCAGTCCACGACTAGGTCCAAAGTCCGAATAGGGTGGGGACCCCCAAAGAACGGACTGTGGGTTTAGCCTGGCTTCCCCTGCAACCTGACGCTTACGGACTGATGTCCCTATGAGACAGTATTTCCTTCCACACAGCAGCAACACTGACCTCCGCTATCAGCAACACAGACATGTGGCTTAAGGATTTTTTTTTTTTTTTTAAGAAAAATGTATTGTCAAAGCTTGCCCACCCCGCCCCATTCCTGTTCGGGCTCCCTTGTCCAGGGGGCTAGATTCCAACTCCTTTGAGGTTCAGGGCAACCCCAAAAACCTGTGCAGCATTGGCACAAAGGTTGTAGCACAGAGGCCCACGGACGTGTAGGTGACGAACTTGTAAGGCACTTCGATCTCTAGTCTCCGCCTGGCCTCCTTGTTCCTGGTGACCACCTTGAACCACGAGTACAGCACTTGCAGGGAGAGGTTTTGCACTAGCTGGCGCACTAGAAGGATCAACACGATGCCCACGGTAAATTTGGTCAGGCCCAAGACCAACATGTCGGTGGTGAGCGGCGGGATGTCCCGAACGACAGGGAGAGACTCGGTGGGCGCAGACGCGAGCTGGAAGAAGTGATTGACCCAGAACCCGAGGGTCACCCCCGCCCCTGCGGCCAGAATGGTGGTGGTGTCCGCCCTGGTTGGGCTGTAGCAGTCAGACGCGGGGTAGTTGTAACACAGGAAGAAGGACACCACGATGGCGCACACGGGGAGCAGGGGGCTGGCCGAGTCCAGGCGGTCGATAAGGGTCCAGGCGGGGTAGGTGAGGACGATGAAGACCGCAGTGACCAGGACGCCACCCAGCACGTCCTGCAGGAAGGAGAGAAAAGAAGGACGTAAGCCGGTGCATGCCTCCCCGGGTGTGGGCAGAACTGTGAGTCAAGTACGGCCGCTTTGACATTGAAAGTACGATTTTGGCATGGCTTTATTTGGCATTGCTTTAAAAGGTGTAAAGCTGCAAAGACATTTGAGAGCAGGAAAAACAGTCGTGCTATTCATGTGTATTTTCTAGTTTTCCTGTCTGTCCTGTGGATTAAATATTCCGTGTTTTCTTAATGGGCAGCTCTAATCCCATTTTCCCCCATCTTCTATCATTTTGATTTAACATTAGGTAGCAAGTGTCATCATTTTGCAGGGGTGACGTCGTCCTTTCTTGGCAGGCCGGGGCTGCAGGCTGGCGGGGGGTGGGGGCTAGCTGCTGGGGGTGCCCCATGCACACCCCAGCTGCTGCTGTCCCTTCTAGGGTACATCTATTTGGGGTGGTTTGAGAAGACATTCTGGATGGGCTGGTGCCAGAGCTCCACCTGTCTTGGCTCCGTCTCCAGAGACGGAGTTTCAAACCGCACGCAGACCATTTCAGTGAGTGGGTGTACCATGCTTGTCTTCACTAGTCCTTCTTTAAGACATTTTAGATTGTGGTCTTCTTTCTTTTGTTCCTCCCTTTCTCTTCCACACCCCCCCCCATCCCTCCAATCCTCCCTTAAATGCCTATTTAAAATATCTTTAATATCCTGGGGCGCCTGGGTGGCTCAGTCAGGTAAGCATCTGACTTTTGATTTTGGCTCAGATCACGATCTCCAGGTCATGAGATCAAGCCTTGTGCTGGACGTGGAGCCTTGCTTGAGATTCTCTCTCTCCCTCTGCCCCCTTCCTCCCTCTCTAAAAAAATAAAATAAAGATATATATCCTTAACTCCTTAATGTCATCCATTTTCTTCTTCCCTTAGTGTTCTCACTGCAAAATTCATCAGAAGGTGAAGTCTCACTGTAATGAATAGAGGAGTATATCAAGTCAGAGAATGAGGGGCTTGCTGAGGTTTTGCTACAAAGTTTCACATGGGTTATTTTGAAAGTTTACCATTGAAAAATTAAAATATTTCCCCCAGTGCATTGGAAAATCTGAAAAGCACCAAAAAAGCACTACATAGGCATGACAGAAAATCGGAAAACCAGGGGAAAGTATAAGAAATAAAAATAGATCCTTATTTTCACCACCTAGAGTCACCCCTGTCTGTATTTTGGCATGTTGCCTTCCACTTTTTCTAGAATTCATTTTGGCTGAGAATTCTTGGAAAGAGATGTTCTTTCTTCTTCTGAACATAGTACCCTGTGTTTACTTAGCAGGCCTCCGGTATTCAGCTTTTTCTGACGTCACCCTGCACTGTCCTGACTCTTCTCTAAGAAGTCTCTTTCTTGGTTTTCTCCTTTCAGGCTTCCTCCTCTTTCCTAAACACAGGCATTTCCACAGACCCTGTCTTCCGGCCGTGTGCATTTTCTCCCTCGGAGGGTTGGTGCGGCAACATGGCTTCCTGTCTGTCCTCTCAGTGGGGCTCTCAAGTTTGGGTCTTCCTGTGTCTCTCTCACGTTAGCCCCACGTTTAACTCGACACTGGACACTGTCACCCAGACATACGGACGGCCCCCCAAACCAACTTGTCTAAGAGAATAATGACCAACAACCAAAAAGAGACATGAGTAAAGGAGAATGAGAAGTTTATAGACAAGGAAATAGGAATGCCTCTTAGACATACACAAATATATGGAAACTTACTCATAAGTGGAAATTAAACTAGGCTGAGGAGAAATGAGAAGTTACGTTCACCTAAAAGTCCGTACATGAATGTGGACAGCAGTTCTACTTATAATCCCCCCCAAACTGGAAACAACCCCAAAGTCATTCAGTGGGTGAAGGGGTAAACAAGGTGTACTGCATTCATAGGAAGGAATATTTCCCAGCTGTAAAAAAGCAACAAACTACTGAAGCATAGAGGAGCGTGGAGGAAATCTCCAGGAAATCATGCTGAACAGGAACAGCCGCTCTCCGAGGGTTACACACTGTCTGGCTCTATTTATATGACATTCTCTAAAAGATGGAACTGTAGTGACAGAGAACAGGTCAATGATTGCCAGGGTCGAGGGGTGGGGGAGGGTACTTTGGGGGGTGAATTTGTTCCATGTTATGTGCATGCTTACTCCAGTCTATACAGGTGTTAAAATCTGTAGAACCACACACCCCAAACGAAGTCAATTTTACTGTTTGCTATTAAAAATTACATTCCAAGCAAAAAAATTAAAAGCCGGGCACCTGGGTGGCTCAGCCGGTTGGGCGTCTGCCTTCAGCTCAGGTCATGATCCCAGGGTCCTGGGATCGAGCCCTGCGTCGGGCTCCCAACTCAGTGGGAAGCCTGCTTCTCCCAATGCTCAGGCTCTCTCTCTCTTTGTATCTTTCTCTGACAAACAAATACATAAAATCTTAAAAAAAAATTTTAAGTGAAATAATTCAGTCTCTCCTCTTCCCAACAGGATCTGCCTTCAATTTCCATATGAAGTGGGGATCCCAGGTGAGCCCAGCTGTGTCCTCCATGGGGTACTGGGCATATCTGGTGAACACTGGGCGGGGGGGGGGAATGGCCCGCCAAAGTGTCACCTGCTGAGGACCGAGAGTACTTTGCGTGTTTTAAAGGAACACATGTTTTGAGGGAAGGAGGAGACCCAGGCACATGAACTCATTGAACTCAACACCCCAAACAAGCCTTTACTCTCAGTGGGGAGAGAAGATTCTACCACTCAGATGGTCTCCTGGCAGCCCCACATCCTATCTGAGTTCTGAAGAAGTCAGAGAGGACGAAAGAGTCATTTTGCCTCAATTTATAAGACTCAGAGCTGAAGAAGGCTGTTTTGGGATCCCTCTGGCAGAGGGCTCTCCAAAGGGCAGAATCCATCCGTCCTTGTACCTCCAGTCCCCAGTACCCCAGGTGGGCACTGGATGATACCACCTGGCAGGAAGGACATGGTTCACGATGTCCCTTGAATCTGTCTCAGGCACAGACCTGCTGGGCGTGGGGGAGCCGCAGAGGAGATGCCGGTGACCGGCAGACAGCAGGGAGGGGGGGGGCTGACAGGGTGGGGCCACGGTACTCTGAGCAACGCCCGCCTCTCCTAGACCCACCATGGGGCACTTACTGCCAGGATCAGGGAGCTGCTGAGCCCCGAAGCAGTGGGCAAGACCAAGGCGCCCGGGCTCACGGCCTGGCCAGAAAGCAAGGAATGTAGCCAAGCCATCCTGACACCACCCCGACAGCAAGGAGGCGCTAGGGAGCTCAGACCTGTTGATGAGCACCTGCCAGGCTCTTTGAAACTCCGGAAATACTTGGTGGGGGGCATTTCGGTTAGGGGTGGGGACAAAATGCAGTTTTGAGGGGGCGCGGGGTGAAGGTTTGGAGTGATCATGCAGGTGTCAGGGAAATTCACGTGTGATCCATATCGCTGCTGGGGGCACCCCTGTCTCCTTGGCGGCGGAAGCTCAGAGGCCTGCTGGCCGTACCTGACGGCTCCCTCCGCTCGCCGCCCAAAACCCCCGTCACTATATTCCAGAGACTCCTGCTTGGCACAAAGCCCTGCTCCTGCTGTCACCACCCAGAGTTTGAACCTTCATTTCGCCTCTTGCCGGCCACTCTCCTGCCCCCAAACCTTCACTGACCAGTGTCCCGATGGCTGTTTCAATAGCAAATGTTTTCCGATTTTCCCGTGCGTTGCAGATTTCAGGGGACTGGAAGTGGGCCCAGGAGTCTGCATTTAACACCCGACCAAACCTGAGGTAGCAAGGCCCGGATAAAAACCCTGAGAAATACTAGCCTACAGATTGAGAGAGTCCAGCGTGATATGGGTTTGATTAGTCCATCATTCTAGGGTTTTCGCTCACTGCGTTCCCATTTGAACTTTTCCACTGCAGTCCGACAGGGCTGCTTGCTTTCCCCAAACATGCCCAGTACAATTCAATCCCCTAGGTTTGCATTCCTTTTATGTACCGTACACTTTAACCATCTCTATCAAGATCATATCGGTGCATCGAAGGCTTGGCTCAAAAGCTGTTTCCTTTCCCAAATACCTCGTGTATCACCGCAGTTGGAAATAACCTCTCCCTGAACTGAATGTGAAGGCCCTTGCTTAATATCCCTCGGAAAGCCCTTCCCTTCTCTGGCTTTTGCTGTGGTCATGTATCCGCATGCTTTTCCCCTGAGTTGATTACAAGACTCTGATCAGCAAGGGCACATTCTCTTGCATCTTGGCATTATCCTCAAGGCTTCTACAATAGAGATTCTCAGCAGATACTCAGTTCTTAGCGATTAGGAGAATTCAATGCCTTTCTCTTAACCTGAATATCCATAATAGTTAATACCCATTGTTTCAATACATGAAAGAAACTTTGCTTGCCTTCCTTCCTTCCGTCTTTTTTGTAACTGCAGTTAGCAATTCCCAGACATCTGGTTGGAATGTTCTTCATAAGCTAATTCTGTTCCTCTCCAATGCATCAGGAGACTACACTTAGTCCACAGCCCTAGCATTTGAGGCAAAAATAATCTTAGCCAAACATGGCTGCTGGCATAGAGTTTGTTCCTTCTAGCCACATGGTTTGATTTTCTGCCACAAAAGGTGATATTGTAATAAAGACATTTAGGTATTTTTTTAAGGAAAATACTTGAACCACCTCAAATGAGCGTTCTAAATTTATAGTAATAAAATGATCCTAAGCAGCTTCTAAAAATAAGGTCTCTAATGCTTGAAAATTCAAGAACAACTTTTTATATTACTTTTCTCAAGCTACTGAAACTACAGGAACTGACAAAAATCTCCATCTCAAAATTGCATCTGCTGTTTTGATTTGGGCGCATTCTAAATGAGGAGGTGATTTCTTTGGAACCTCTACCATTCGGCACAGGACACGGGGCCAGAGAGAAAACAGTTCTCAGGTCTCTGGCGCGGCGAAGATGGGCCGTGGGCAGAGGTCAGGGCAGGGGGCACAGGGCAGAGG